TCCTTCTAAATTCCAAATATTTCATGTTATGAACTGGATTAAAGGTACACTATTCAATTTGTATGCCACAGCATCATCTAGCCTCTATTCAGAAGCTACCACTAGGTCAGAAGATATGGAGACGTAGCTCTAAAAAGAGCAAGCTGCAGCTGACAGGGAGTGAACAATTGCTTAGAGAACAAATAGATTACTTTTTTCCTATTTCAGGAATATCGTTCAGAGGGCAGTTCAAACACACCTGATGCCATGTCTTTGTACATTGCTATCACTAGAAAAAAATAAAATCCTTTTTAACTGTCATGAAAGTGTAAGTCCTTGGTGTCTCCTAAAGTTCTGAGAGTCTCTGAAGAAAATTCTGCTCAAAATTCATGGAATGTGGAAACTCTGTGACTAGACAGAGTCAGCTTGGACTCTCCAGTCAAATCAATATTCCTAGGAGCAGCTGTCATCTTTTAACAGAAGCCTACTGAAAAATAACATTGGATGCTTGACTCTGCAGTTGCATATAGCCATATCATTTGATTCACAGGATTCAGTTCAAAGCAGCAGCATTCAGATTAGCAAAGATGTGTCCCTGTAGAAAGTTCATTACTGGACAAAAGCCAAGCTTACTCTATTTGTTCTGAAGAATGTTCTTTGATTCTATAGCTGAACTTTAGTGAGTGTTGCTGTCCTGCAAAAAAACTAAGGTAGCTGTAGTTTATGGTAAATTACTGGCTGATTTTCCTAAAACATGAAATGCTTAAATTTAAAAAGGGATTAATAAGTGTTATTTTAACTAGATAACTGAAAAAAAAATTAATCAGTTTTGCAATGTTGCCTAATATCTCTCAGATATTGGCGTTTCATGATTCATCACCCTTTTATATAGTATTATGGATAGCTGATATAAAAGTCATTAGTTTTATATCCTGGTAGAGCACAGATTTGTATGCATGCACAGGTATTTTAATATTCAGAAATACAAAACATTTGGTTTTTTTAAATTAATCCCCCCCCCATATCACAAAGAATAAAACTGGTAATTTCCAATTTTTTTATTAATGCTAGTGTTGCCAGAATGATTTTTGCTTTTATAATTCCTTTATATATATATATTTATATATTCATAGTTCTGTAGGCTATTGTTGTACAGTTATATAGTTCCTAGCTTGCTCCAGTACTTTTCCCTACCCTGACAGGCAGAAAGACAAAACACATTCCTGAGACTCCAAACCCCCGGGAGGTCCAAGGCCCCTATCCCATCTTGGTTCTTCCTGGGAGCCAAGGTTGAAACCAGCTCTTCAAGACACATTTTCATAAACAAAGTTTAGTTCCTATCTAAAGGGTGGCAACAGAAGAGGTGGAACCAAAAGGGGGGAATTACTTCATCACTTGTGCTTCTAATTGGGGATTCTTGTCAATTATGCTAATCGGCCAAGCTTACAAAACTGTATTCACCCCATGTGGGTTGGGCATTTTTCCATATCTGCCCCTGGAGCCCTCCAATAAAGATCAGCCTTTATATTACCTCCTATACTAATACTGTTTTGAAAGTGTGTTGTTTTTTTTCTAGGTATTTAAGGCATTGGTAGCAATAAACCTAAAGGTAGGAAAAAATAAAAAAGAGCAGTGATTGTGGTCTAAAAATGTAATTTCAAGAAAATGTTGCACAAAAATGCTCAAAGTGTCTGTCCCTTAAATGACACTGATGATAATTTAAATTCTGACATTGCCACATAGCATTAGAAACTTTAGTTATTAAAAAGGGTCATGCTGTTATTAGAAAAAATATTCTAATCATTTTCACTCAGCTATAAAGGGGTTCTGAGTCTATAATCACAATGAGAGACAACTTTATTTTCTATATTTCCTATTGGATTCAATCAAAACTCAAGCACTAATGATTCACAGTGTTATTAATGGGAAAAAAAAAACCCTTAAAATATCTTTCTGGATTCTCCTTAGTTCGCAGTTACAAATTCAAAATTAAATAAAAATGCTTTATTCGACACAATAATTCACACATTTAGGAAGTCTAGTGTTTGCATTATACAAGGAGTTAGATCCAATGTTTGGGTTGTCTATGTTAGTAGCATATACCATAAAACCTCCTGTAACAATACCATGATAATTTAGCAGTCTTCAGTACCTTCAACACCAACAGTCAGGAAAAGCATTTATTGGACTCTTGAGTCCTGGCTGCGAGCCTAGTGATCCTTGCCTTAGGTCAAAAGACACTTTGATATCAAGCAATGATGTTAGTCCATTCTTTCAGAGGTTCAGCTGTGTGCAGTATACAGAAACAAGATGCAATGGCAGTGCTTCATTTCTGGAATGTTGAGGAGATGTATTAATATCTTGCAAAGCTCTACTGACCAAAACACAAATCACAGATAGTGATTTTCAACATCTGGTAACATTAGACTTCTAAGTAAACAGCAAGACACACCTTATTGACCCCAGTTCAACAAACCAACCTTCAGATCCCAACTGCAAATCACCGAGTTATCTGGCTTTTAAAGTAATTCCCCTTCCCCAGTTTCTTCCCACCCCTACAAAAATGTGCAGTCCCTGCCTCCACCATATGTACTGGAAAACACTAAATAACTTGATCAGAGGTCATGAGTTACAGTAATTTTTAAGCAGTGTCCTGAAAAAAAACATTCATATCCTGTAAGTTATTGGTATTTTCTAAGTTTAGGAGATTGTATTATAGCTTCCCATCTGAAACTTAGCCCTAAGAAACCATTGATATAAACAAGGCAAAGGAAATGAAGGTGCTGAAACTCAGCTCTTGTACTAATCAGTGGTGTAGCTCCAGAAATAGTTTTTCTCTATGTAGTTGATACATAGCATATGCATTTCTGATAGCAATTTGATCCCTACGGCTGTTATCTTACACAAAGACACAATATTCAATGTTTTGGTCACAAACAATCTTACAGATTACAATTAAAGCATTTTAAAGCATTTAAACAAAAATTTAAAGTTTCTTTTTCACAAGGAAGAACAATAGGAAAAAATTTAATTGTTTTCCACATGGTTCTCTTAAAGCAAAGTCCATAAGGACATATTCAGCACCAAAAGTTAATTTAAAAAAGAAGCACAGCCAAAAAAAAAAAACAAACCAAAACCAACAAACCAACCAAAAACAGAAAACCCCAACCAAAACCTAGCCATAGAAGCAAATCTATAAAGCAAACATTTAATACTGCACTTTGTTTCGCTAATGCTTGGATTTTACTTTTTCCTAATTCAGATCAAGATTCTATATCAAATATTGGGCTACAACTATGAACCTATAATGCCTCTGAACAACTAATAAAAAATTTTAAGTGGGAAATCTTTATTTGATAAGGTTTTAGAATTTTTCACTCTGATCACAGCCTGTGATGCAACATAAATTATGACAACATTGGTCAATTTTGCTTCATATATAGTTTTTCCAATATACTGGGATAAGTGTTTCAATGCTACATATACCAACAACTATTCCCTAGTCTGTTAACAAAAAAGAAAAAAAAGTTAAATTATCAAATACCCTTTTATGCCAACAATTTTAATATGTAAAATTTTGTCTGGTTGGAAAGGATTGAAGGACAGTCACAAAAATGTCAATATAAGACCTCACCCAATTTCCAATTCTTGCTTATCAAAGTCTAAACATTTGAACTGAATCACTGAAGACATGACTCTCATTTAACCACCCTGTCATCATTTTTGGAACATAAAATATCTTTCATGTTCTCATAAAGGCCACTTATGGAAAATCCTATTTTTTTATATTTATGAAGCCTTAAAAATAAGGCATAACTTTGTAAGAATGAGCACAATACAAAACCACCAGCTTTCCCTCCCCTCCTCTCCCCTCCCCTCCCCGCTGTTTCATTGTACAAGGATTCACACAATGAGTTAGCTTTTAAATAGTCAACATCAGACATGTCTCAGACAATAGTTTTTGTTGTTGGTTTTTGGTTTTGGGTGGAGTTTTTTGTTGTTGGTTTTTGGTTTTGGGTGGAATTTTTTTGTTCTTGGTGGTTGTTTGTTTGTTTTTATTTATTTACATGGTTTCTGAAAAGAAAACTTACATTTACAAATCTCTAGCATAAAAACACTGATCAGATCTAATAGCTCCATCATTCATTTCTTCTTTAGAATACATTCAAGTCAGTTCTTTTTCTACATAATTTCTCACATTCTAGATGAATGTATGATTAAAGCTGTTGGATTTCTTGTTTGTTTCATAGAATCATAGAATATCTTGAGTTGGAAGGGACCCACAAGGATCATCGAAGTCCAACTCCTGGCCCTGCACAGGACAGTCCCAAGAATCCCATCCTGTGCCTGAGAGCATCATCCAAACACTTCCTGAGATTTGTCAGACTTGGTGCTGTGACCACTTCCTCGGGGAACCCATTCCAGTGCCCAACCACCCTTAGGGTGAAGAACCTTTTCCTAATATCCAACCTAAATCTCCCCTGATAGACCTTCAGGCCATTCCCTTGGGTCCTGTTACTGGTCACCAGAGAGAAGAGATCAGTATCAGGGCCTGCCCCTCCACTTGCTCTCATGAGGAAGCTGTAGACTGCAATGAGGTCTCCCTTCAGTCTCCTCTTCTCCAGGCTGAACAAACCAAGTGACCTCAGACACTCCTCATAAGGCTTCCCCTCTAGAGCTTTCACTATCTTTGCAGTCCCCCTTTGGATGCTCTCTAATAGATTTATATCCTTCTTATATTGTGGCACCCAAAACTGCCCCCAGGACTCAAGGTGAGACCGCACCAGTGTGGAGCAGAGCGGGACAAGCATCTCCCTTGACTGGTTGATGATGCTGTGCCTGATGCACCCCAGGACACGGTTGGCCCTCCTGGCTGCCAGGGCACTGCTGACTCATATTTAACTTGGCATTGACCAGGACCCCCAGTTCCCTTTCTGCAGAGTTGCTCTCCAGCCTCTTGTTCCCCAGTCTGTCCATACATCCAGGGTTGCCCCATCCCAGGTGCAGAGTCTGGCACTTGCCTTTGTTGAACTTCATATGGTTGGTGATTGCCCAGCCCTCTCATTTGTCAAGATCTCTCTGCAGGGCCTCTCTGCCTTTGAGGGAGTCAACAGTCCTTCCCATTTTATTATCGTCAGCAAACTTAGTATACCTTCAAGTCCTGCATCCAAGTCGTTTATGAAGATGTTGAAGAGAACTGGCCCTAAAATGGAAATTTTTTGTTATAAATTGTTTGTTTTAAAGCTCTCAGGATTAGCCCAGAAGCAATCAGAGCAATTCTCAGCAAACTAATTGGAGTACAGTTGGTAACACTGATACTCTGGCTCAGTTTTATAATAGTTTCAGTCTACCAACCTCCAAACCAAGATGATAAGGCAAATAGAGCAATATTTGGGTCACTTAAACAAGCTTCAGGTCAACAGAACCTGGTTCTCATAGATGACTTCAGCTACCCAGACATTTGTTGGAAGAACAATACAGCAGCTCATATTTCAGCCATCAAGTTCCTGGAATACGTAGAGGACTGCTTCCTCATACAAATGTCAAGATGTGCCAAACAGAAATGAGGCACTGCTGGACTTGCTTCTCACAAACCAAGAAAAACTGCTTTGTAATATCCGTTAGTGATAACCTTGGCTGCAGTGATCACAATATCGTGGAATTGGAGAGCCAGCTGAGCACGCTAAAGGTTAGTATTAAGACAAAGGTTTTAGATTTTAGAAGAGCAAACTTCAGCTTGCTCAGAGCTCATTTGGGAGGGATTCAATGGGAAGCTTCCACAGAGGATAAAGGTGTTAGTGAGGGCTGGGAGTTTTTCCAAGAATGCTTTCCTGGAAGCACAAAAGCAATTCATCGCCTTTAAAGGTAAAAGAAATAGGCAGAGCAAGAGACCCGCCCCTAGTTTAACTGCAAGTCTCCGTATCTGCTCAAAACCAAGAGACACATACCAGAGATGGAAAAGCAGACAAATATCTATTGAATACTACAAATGCAATGTCAGGGCATGCAGAGAAGCAGTGTCCGAGATTGAGAAGCAAGATGTTTTCTATTGCCATCTGTGTAGCAGTTGTCTTCTGGCCAGTTTTCCTTATCTCTTGTTAATGGGCCCATCAATGTCTCGCCACATGACTCAGAGATAACTCCCTCCAGGAGCCATTTCTGTTTAACAGATAATCAAGGAGCCACAACATTACTCAAAATGACATCAGCCCATTGTGAGATGCCCCGCCCAGGGGGGAGGAGCTAAGCATCCCCACCTAGATATATTCTGGAGTTTTAGGACAGAGCAACAGCCTTCCCACAAGTTTCCAAGAGGACACAGATGAGGTTTCCACTGGACTGACTACACCTTTTCTACAAGACCACTACTCCAACAGAAACCACATCTGCCACTCCAAGAGGACTGCAGCCACTCCAATTTGTACTGCTACCAACATGCTGGCCAAAGGGGTGTCAAACTGTATTCTAACTTTGTCAGTGGTTTTCCTTTTATATTATTGCATGTATTTTGTTTCTTTTCCCTTTTCCCAATAAATTGTATTTCTGACTTGGAGTCTCTCACTGGTTTTGCTTTCAAACCAGAACAAGAAGTTAGAAAAGCAAAAGTTCAACCCAAATTGAAATTGTCCAGAGATGTCAAAAATCCAAAGAAAGGGTTCTTTGTGTATGTAAATAGTAAGAAACAGAAGGAAAATATGGACCTGATGTTAAACAGGAGAGATGAATTGGTCACCAACAGTGCTGAAAAGGCTAGAGGTTCTCAACACTCTCTTCTCCTCTGTCTTCTTCACACAGCACTGTCGGGCCCCAAGCCTTGGGAACAAAAATCCAGGTTAATGCAAACACAGACCTACTGTCAATGAAGAAAGAGTTGAGTTGTCATGTGAACTGCTACAGGAGCTTGACCCCAACAAATCAATGGACCCTAACACTGTTCACTCAAGCGTGTTAAGAGAGTTGGCTGACACCATTGCAAGGCTGCTTGCTCTCCATAACCTTTGAGAAGTCACAGAGATTGAGGCACTGCCCAGGAGATTGGAAGAAGCCTAATATCACCCCCATCTACAAGAAAGGATTAAAAGAGGATCGTGGAGATTATAGATCCATCAGTCTTATTCAGTCTCTGGGAAAGTTATTGAACAAATCTTCCTTGAGGCTATTAGAAGTCAAATGAAGCATGGGATTGGAAAAGCCAGCATGGACTCTCCAAGGGCAAATTATGCTTAACAAACCTGATCACCTTCTATGACTAAGTAACTGTCTTGGTTATGTGGGGCAAGCAGTGGACACTGTCTACATGGATTTCTCCAAGGCTTTCGATGCTGTTTCCCACAGCCTCCTCCTACAGAGACTAATGTGTTATGGTCTAGACAAGTGATCTGTGCAGTGGGTGGGGAACTGGCTGACAGGCCACACCTAGAAGGTGGTGGTAAATAGTTCCTTTTCAAACTGGAAATCTGTCACAAGTGGGGTCCCCCAGGGATCGATATTGGGCCCCAATGCTGTTTAATATCTTTATAAGTAATCTGGATGATGGAATCAAGTGTACCCCAATGAAGTGTGCTGATGATACTGAGCAGGGAAGCGGACACTTTGGAAGAAAGATCCACCCTGCAGGAAGACCTGGATAGGCTGGAAGAGTGGGCTGACAAGAACCTTATGAAGTTAAACAAAGACAAACATTTTGCACCTGGAAAACATCATCCAGGAATGCAGCATAGGCTGGGATCTATCCCTCTGGGGAGATGTTCTGTGGAAAGGGCCCTAGGGATCCTGGTGGACAACAAACTGAATATGAGTGAACAGTGAGCTGCTGTGGCAGAGAGCCAACAGGATGCTGGGTTGCATAGACAAGGGCACCACCAGCAGAGATAAAGAAATCATTATCCCACTCTACTCAGTACCTTATCAGGCCACACTTGGAATACTGTGTTCACTTTTGGTCCCTGATATACAAAAGAAGATGTGGGCAGGATGGAGAGGGTCCAGAGAAGGGCCACAGAGATGATTCAAGGACTGGGAAGCTCCCATGTGAAGAAAGGCTGAGAGAACTGAGTTTGTTCAGCCTTGAGAAAAGAAGGCTAAGGGGAGACCATATTGCCATGTTCCAGTATTTAAAGGGTGGCTACAAAGAAGATGGAGACTTCCTTTTTACAAGGAGTCACATGGAAAAGACAAGGGGTAATAGGTACAAGTTACTCCTCAGGAGATTCCAATTGAACATGAGAGAACAAATTTTCACAATGAGAACAATAATAAATAATCTCCCCAGGGAAGTGGCAGATTCCCCAACATCGGACACTTTTTAGGTGTACTAGGGCATCTTGTCTAGACCATGTTTTTGCCAAGAAAGGTTGGACCAGATAATCCTTGAGCTCCCTTCCAATCTGGTGTTCTATGATTCTGTGTCAGAGTATCATAAACCCTGAAGATAATACCAAATGGGCAAACTGAACTGCTGCTTAGTTGCCATAGTTCAATTTTTTCTTGCAATCTGAAATACACTTTCTACTAGAGACTCATTTTATATATAATTTTTGATGATTAGGGAACTACATATTATTTAAATAAAACCAAACACAAACCAACCAACAAACCTTTTCCTTCCTATCCCTAATAGTTAAGATTATATCTGCCCGTGAACCCTGGACAGCATATGATTATCCCCTTTTCACACTTTCTTTTCACACTTTGCTAGTGTCTGCTGGTGCTACTTTCACTTTGTAAGTTTTGTGCATGTCCCTGTTCAAAATCCCCCTCAAAGAACAAAACCAAAACACAAATATAAAAGTGCAACATAAAACAAATATCATTCTAGCAGTTTGGCAAGTGATGAATTCACCTGAGATTAAGTGATCTTTAGGCAGTCTGTAACAAAACACTGCTTTGCAATAAAAGCAGAAAGGCAACAAATTATTTTAAGAAATCAAGAAGGTATACAATCTTGATTATGTCTCATTAGTTTCCTTCTGTTCTCTCTTCCCCCACCTATCTGTTGCTTTCTACTACAGTTGGCTGCAAAACATACAGCAAGGATTGACCTTGAAGGCATGTAATGCTTGTAAATAAATCTACAATAGGATCCAAGCTGAAGAGGTGATACAGGATCAGCCTACTAGGACAATTCTGAGCATGTGCATATGCAGGCAAAGTCCAGGCTACATCAAATTAAAAGAAAAGAAAAAGTCAGGGCTTTTGTCAGCCTTTATACAATATATAATTTTTTTTTTTTTTTTTTTTGGTAAAGCTGTCTTTTGTTCCTTGTTGTGCAGATCACAAGCAATTGGGGAGGGGTTGGTAACAGCAGTCCATCACAAATGAGAATAAGTTGTAGTGACACTTAACTGTGTAACATAAGTAATAAGCATGTGCAAATTTTCATAGAATCATAGAAAGCAGCCATTCCTCTCTTACAACATTACAACATGGTTTGAGTGTTTTGAAACACCTGAGTGCACGCTAATAAGGCTGCTTCTAGTATGTGCCACTATTTAATGGAGGGGGACGCAGGTTTTCAAGCATGCAGAGCAGTCCTATGTTGTGCTGTAGGTGTCAAAGCATGATCACAGGTTCTTTTCATTTATTCACCATACAGGCAAGAGCAATACCATTTCCTTTAAAACCAAGTCTCCACGATGACACCTTGATCTTCAACACAGAAGGTGTGATTCAAAACCCAAGTCAAGACAGCTTTTTATGGATTCCTTCAACGAGAAGGGCAAGATGGTATCTCATCTGTGGGCTGATCTGTGTTTGGATTAATCTAACAAAAAGAAAAAGAAATAACCCCAAAACAACAACAACAAAAAAAACCCCAACCAAACAATTGACCAAATAAACCCAGAACAAAACAACCAAACTAAACCAAAACAAAAAAACACCTCCAAAAATAAAAGCCATGACAACTCAGTGCATTTCAGCATCAATTGCTAGGAATAAAAATCAAAATTCACAAGTTTAAGACAATTATATTGATATGTGGCATTTCCAGTCCAAGGGTTATTGAAATAACTGAAAAACTTCTAGTTAGAAAAAACTTTGGATAAACAGTAATAGAAATACTAGATCCAGTGGAAGACTCTAAACTACAAGTTGATGGCAATTTAAGAATAAGAATAAATAACTGCTATAAAAATTTTTTTCTCCTTTACTCACACAGAAGTCTTTTGAATTATCTGATATATACAAAAAAGAAGATGACACATATCACTGGAAACATAATTTAAGAAATATTTAATTGAGAGAAGCGAAAAAGTTTTTCTTGAAATGGCAGAAATTTATCAATAAAAAAATCATTCTACTCTTAAATTAAAGTAGTTAATACTCAAATATCCTATGGGATATTTCAAAAAGTTCATGTGTTTGAAACCTTACCTCTTCTTCCTCTCTACAGGAGAAATAAAGGGTACAAGCTTGCTAACTTTGGTCTCAAAAACTAGATGTAATAATAGTTTACATGTACATTGCATCTTTTAGACAAAAATACAAAAATGAATCAGTTAACTTCATATAGACCTTTGTTTTTGCATTTCAAGCTGGGGGGGGGGGGAATGTCATGCTACATAATGCTATTTTCCTAAAGTGGATCAATTCAGACAAAATTTGGCCAGAGGACACTTCTTTTTTCATTTGTCCTATATCACTTATTTTTATTGAAAAAGAAAAAAAGAAACACAACATGAAAAGCTTTGAAATTTGCATCTCATTCATGGTTATTCAGTTGCTGCATTTTTGGTTCTGTGAAGTCCAAAAGTGTTGAAGAACTGTGTATTTCAGAAAACTTTTCTACATTAAACTTCTGAAAGGCCTACATTCACAGAATTTAAACACACATGCAGGCAAAACAGATTAGTGGTTGCTATAAAATGTTAGGAAGCAGAAAAGGTGAAAGAGTTGAAACCATATTTTTAATACACAATTTTTTTTAAATTATGTTTCTAAAATGGCAACAACACTTTGAAAATTTCCAGAAAGTATTAGACTAGGGAAGAGTGCTGCCAAGAAGAATTACCTCCCTGGTTGGCAGCTCCAGGAAATAGCATGATGGAGAAGCCAAGGCACCTCATGGAGCACCTTTTAAATTTAAGGTTGCAGAGTTCACGTAAAAAATAAAATTTAAAAAAAATATAAAAAGGGTAATCCAGGCTGTAAAACAGGCATGGAAAACTTATGATGCAATTCATCTGCATCTTGCAAACAAACAAAACTCCTCCTCAAAACCAGCTTATTCCATGTTCATCATTTTAATGGTTTCTTCCAATTTTAGGAAGGAGAAACAGGTTTCTAAACTTGTTCCATCAGACAAATAAAAAAATCAGCCACAAACAATATATAAATCATCATAGTCTGACACATATACCTACTTCTGAATATAGGGGAGGAGGCAGAAAACGAAACTCCTGGATGTATGCAAATAATGGTCCCTGCAGTGCTCTCTGAAAATCATCAAAAGCAGCTACAGGTGCAAGGCCAGACTGTCTGTTTTCCTCTGTGACCACTTCTGCATAGCTAGGAGGTGCTGGAGGGAGAAAGTACATACAGTTCAAACAGCAAGTTTTTATGCATGACAAAATATACAACATGACAAATATTAAACTTCAACCACTGAAAAATTCATCGGCAGATAAACAATGACTTAAAAATTGTTAAACAAAAAAGGGAGATTATTTTGTTTTATTCTGATATTAAGCTTATGTTCAAAGACAGGCTGACCATTGTTTATTGTGGCTGAATTATCCCCTTAAAATTTAAAGCAGACCAAAAATAATTTATTCTCTGTACAGGTAGAAATGTCAGAACATTGCAGTCCTCTGTACTCCAGAAGTCTCCAGGTCTGGGATTTGCACTTTAAAAAAGCAAGATATTAGATATGCAAAAAGAGAAGGAAGGAAATACATAATTCTTTCTTTGGTCATGAGAAATCTCCCATATAAAAGAATATTATCTTTTCACAAAGCCTTGGCTACTCAGGCTGATGAGAAAGCCCAGAAACTGCTATTATGGGTTGCAATGCCTTATAACCAAGGATGCAATTGAGATACTGGAAGTGGAAGCAATGAAGTTATGCATAGATACAATGGTATCCTGTGCTTTTATTTCTGCTACTTTCCAGAGGAGCTAGATTTCACCACCTGTCCTAGAGACAGAAAGGCAGGGAGGGAAAAAAAAAATCTCTTGCTCTACACAGAACAAGCAGGTGGCAAGAAAACATCCACAATGGATTTCCTGTGGGCTTTATTATAAAAGGATGTAATTTGACTCTGTTAACAAGACTGCAATGAATAAAGCAGACAAAAATCAAGAGAGTAGTGAATTGATTGGGATTTGTATTATCATGCTACCTTCTAGTCTTTCAGGCAGAGTCAGACCAAGCCAATTCATGTTCATGCTACCCTGGCTGCTTACGCTTGATGTTCTGCTGCCAACTGAATGTAGAGGAATGGTACCAATGACGAGTGGTAAGTTAAGGAACAAATCCACAGCTCCTGGAATATCAACATATACCTGAAGAAAAATGAAACAAGTATATGATTAAAATGTGGGGTTTTATCAGCATTTCATAAGTATTAGGCTAAGTTATCTTTCTATGAAAGTTTTCATGAGGAGATTGTTTCTAATAGCCCCTTTTAGGGTCCATGCCCCTATGGAGACATGAGCTCTTCAAGTTAAGAAGAGTCTTAAAATGACCCCTCACATGGAAATGCAGTTTACTCATTAAATGCTTGCTTAGTTGACAGACAGCTGCTTTAAGAACTTGCATGATTTAAATTAAATTTACTTACCAGACCTCCTGTCATGACACTAATACAAGAACATGTATTTCTTTCATAACTAATCATCACAAAATGCTATTCTAGAAATTTATATGGCATGTTGGAAGCTACTCATTCTTGCGAGTGAAACAGACTGCCCCACATACCATCAGTGAATACTCCACACGGATTATACTACAGTCAAGGATTGAAGGGGAAACAGGTGGAATTTTCAACTGTTTGCCATTCCAGGTTTCTGTTTTGCCAGATGACAAGGATTCCCCACAGAGGTTGGCAACAAGCTGTCTGACTTCCTTCATTTTCCCTTTGGCATAGAATGCCTGCGTTTGGTAAATGGTTGCCTTTGGCACCACCATACGGGAAGAACAATTCTCAATCTCAGCAAAGATCTGAATTGATTCACCTGAAACAAAAAGGAAAAAACCCAAAAATCAACAAAACACACCAGAATTTCAATTTCTCTTTACATTTACAAGGCAGCTTAAGCAAACTTTCACATTCTTTATACTGTTATAACAATGCTGCTTTCACTGCTCTACCTGAAAAAAAAAATGCACTGATGCTAATAGAAACAAGATCCCCATCAGCTGTTCTAAAAGGAAAAAGAAAACAAAACATTCAAAAAAATTACCAGTCTAACACCCAAAACATGCCAGTCTAACAGATGAGGTCACTGAGTCATCTAGAGATACAAGCAGTGCTGTCTTAGTTAACAGGGTATGCAGAGAAGATTGCTAAATGCAGACTGATGTGGTACAAATATCCTTAATGTTTCATTCATGTAAAAACAGTAGTACAGACTCCAGCTTTAAAAAGAAGGAAAACCACACAGAATTGATTATAGGGTCACATACCTGGGGTGTAGCCCTTTCTTTCAATTTTGGCACTTAAAGATATTGGGCCTGAGGTACAAAGCCAACAACATAGAGTCTTTTCTTTTGTGCCTGCTTGGGGTGACTGCAAGAAGAAGAAAAGTATTGTCCATCAAATTAGGAGCTCCATGAATCTCGTCGGGTATTTAAACCAACACAGGAAAAGAATAATTTTCATAATGTGGTTATTATTACATATTTTGATAAACAAAACTGCTTTAATAGGAAAAGTCTCAAGCAGTTAAACAACATTATACAGATACAATGTTTGTCCTAATTCCACTGGTGTATTCGTATTGCTTTTTCTGCGATCCTCCATACTACAGCCACAATTAAAACAATACTAAAATAAAATACAGTATACCTTAAAACAAAAGGCTTCATAGCCTACACATCCCAACATAATGCTGCAGAGTTTTTCATTTAACTAACAGCAAATTAGAACATCTTAACACTTTCCATTATGCTGCATTTCCAAAGCAAAATAACTAAGCTAAACGACTGTAATCTTTACTCCTGCTATTTCCTCAGTTTCTGAATAATCCTGTTTCATCTATGTTAAAAAGACTTATTTTACACAACACCAGGATTTAGGGCTTGATCCAAAGCCCACTAAAGTCAAATGAGAGACCTTCGATTTTCATGGAGTTTTTACAAGGTCCCTTTGCAAGCTGATTTTTCACCCATACACACAAGAAATCTGTTTCAATGGTCTTCTGATTTTCTTTCCCCTCTAGATTAAAATTTGAGAAGGGGATAAAATAAAGGATTTTTAGACCAGACTGAAATCAAATCCTCACTGAGAGCAGTTCTGATATTAAAGTTATTTTAATAAAATGATATTTCAGAAAAAGATTATACAGAATTGCGATAATTTCCTCCTCAACTATCCATATGGAAATTATCACTTGTGCACTGCAGTAAATTTTTTACTTTGCATTTTTAAGTTAGCAGTCCCTCACTAAAATATTAAGCATTGCATTGTTCCTTCATAGATTATTCCTTATTTATAATTTAAGAGGGCCAGGTCACCAAATTTTCTTCCTTACTGAGAGTCTACAATTTGGTAGTATCAGTTTAGACCGACAAATGCATTTTATGTCTTGTAAAGATCAAGCAACTCCAAGTACAGGATAACCTAGCCTTCAAAATACCAGCAGTTAGAGTTGTTAAACTGATATAATACTTAGAAGAGCTGTACTTAAACTAGCAAATACATATTAGGTAAAGTTGCATGCTGACATTGTTTCAGTTATTATATTTCATTATTTTTATGCAAGAAAAGGAATGAGTAGTTGTGTCAGTTCTTACCAGTAATGAAGGAGTGTTGATATCTATATGTTCAAAGACTGTAAATTCCTTCTTTAATTTTACTGGTAGAAGCCAAGGCCTATTCAATTCAGCTTTCACCCAATACCGCACACTGCCGTGTCTGCCTTCGAATGAGGTAGCAAGTGGTCTGTGCAGAACAAAGGTCAAAGTTGAGTAAAGGTTTTCTCTCATTCCAGTGCAATTGGTCAGATTTGGAATTAGTATGTTGTTGGGGTTTAGGATTTTTCCTTTTGTTTTTTCTCTTAGGGAATTTCCTCCCACTTTGTTGCTACGAATAATGACTGGTACTTAACAGAAGAAGTAACCACAGAGAAGGGGAGGAGTGCAGCTGGCATTACTATCTTGGCTGAGCTGGCATTCTCCTAGAAAGGGCAGAGATATCTTGAGATTTGGGCTGGGGGAAGGGGTTGGGTGCAGCTTCTAGCTCTCTCTTGCTCTCTCAGAGTAGGACGATTGATTGCTGCTCACTGGGGGGGGGGGGAGAGAATTCGCTGCTGCTGCTGCCGCCAGAGCCCATCCCTGTCCTGCTTCTTCTGCGGTGGGTGAGCCTTTGCTCATGAGAGCAGCCACTGAACTGGGACCTTATTGTGATAGATGAGTAATGCGATGGTTGACTCTCACAATTAAAAGGCAAATATCATGTATATATGTCGTGGTTTGACACAGAAGAGAATTTTCTCAGGAAGAAGAGGGTCAAACCAATCAGTGGTCAGGTTTAGATATTAGCACCTGGAGTGACCACGGAGGGTATGGACATGCCTCTGAGAACACAGGGGGTTAAAAGCAAGAACTCCCAGGAGAACTGTCTGTTTAGTTCTGATTGTTGGAGAGTGCAGACTCCCCCCTGCCCAGCCACGGGCTGGGTGTGGGAGGGGAAACCATGTGGCCTAGAATGTGGCCTAGGGCCAGGGGGTGAAGAGTCTGGAACCGAGCCAGCTCCTTTCCCCCCCCCCTCCCCCCCCCCGCCCCCTCTCAGAGATTTCAGCCGTCCAGGGAGCCCAGGACTTTTAACCCTTTCCTGGGAAATGAAAGCTTTGTAAAATATTACTCCTCCTCGATTTGAAAGAAAAGAGAGACAGCCTGAGACCTGAGATGTTAGGAAAAGAAGGTTGGGGGGAGATAATAAAGTGGCTTTTGGCTGGACTTTTCTTGTTAGCAATAAACGAAACCAATTTCTCCTGCAAGAGAGACTGCATTTTTAAGGGAATGCAATAGTGAGCCAAGAGACCTGCTTTAGCGACTACCAGTACAGAAATGGAGTGAACAGAAGAAAACTGAGGAAGGTGTAATGATGCCCTCTATCTTCAGGAAGATGAAGATCTCTGTTTTCACCCTCAGCCCCAGAGGAGGAGGAAAATGGGGGGGACTGTAGTCCCAAAATGAGACATTAGACTTGTTCCTTTTAGTCCTTGGCAAAGCATCCTTAAAAGAGCCCTATAAGCAGTCTGTCCATACACAGTAGTAAGAGCACTGTGACATAGAAAAGAGAGTGTCACACTGGCAGATTTTCTCAGGGCAGTGCCATGTGTGACATGGAAACACAAGAAGTAGCAATTGTGTTTCTTGGGGGTCTATAGTGCAAGGGAGACTCCTCTCTCCCTTAATAGACTGAATATTGATTATTTTGAAGGGTGATAACTTGATTGAGAGTCCAAGTAGTGTCTCACTGTGGTTTATTAGAGTTGGGGTGGGGGGGAGGAGGAATGTTTTAGAAAGTTTTCATTTTAGATTTAGTGTGTTTTTTTTTTCCTTTTATCATAGTAGTAGTTTAATAAAGTTGTTTTTTTTCTTTATTTCTAAGCTAAGTCTGGTCTGCTCTGTTCCTGATCACATCTCACAGCACTTATTTATAAAAGTGTATTTTCATAAGGACACTAGCATTGTGCCAGCGTCAAACCATGACAATATATGTTAAGAGAAGTTTTATAGACTTATAGTTATGTTTTACCCCCTTGCGTTGTTATCAGGGGGTGGCCTGGGTTTGGGACAGATGGGAGTGTCGGCTTGTTACTATGGCAACATTTGACTTCCAATCAGGATTTTGGGAAGTAAACTCCATCACTGGACAGCAAAGAAGGAGTCTATGGACAGAACTTTGGGAGGGGCTAAAGGGTTAAAAGGCGAAACCTCCATTGTGTGGATAAACACGTGGAGGAAAAAATCCTTTGCTCGCTGCACTGTAACATTTTCTCTATTCAGTCTTCTGTTGTAGTTTTGATAAGGTTTTAATAAACCTTTCAAATTTTTTTAAAAGTGAATATCATTTCTCACATTATTAACACCTTACCTCACTAAAAAAAAGGACTCTCATCATCTGCACGGGTAACTCAAGGGAAACACCAGGATCCCGAGCCCTTTCCTCCTCCCAGGGAGCCTCTCCCTGCTGTGTTCAGGAGCTGGGCTACCGCTGTCTGGCCCCCGCCATTTCTTTGCCACTGCTTTGGGTTTTTTGCTACACTGTAGCCTGTCAAAAATAGGTTAAAAACTGTTGTAAAATAGTTAATGCGAAAAATGCATACTTTATTAGTGGCTTTTCGCAAATATTGCAATGACTATTATATGTGTTATGTTAGAAAGTTATGCTGTATTAATTCTCTTAAGTAGTGTGTTAAATATAGTTTTAGGTTACAACATAATGTTAAAATAGAAACTATGCAATGTAGGATTTTTTTACTAGCTCAAGCAAGAGATGAGATAATCAAGAAACTCTTCTCACAGAGATGGCAGTGACTGGGGCCCATAGTTACTGCCTCCTTATCGGAAAAGACAAACATTCTTCCACCTTCTCTCCATCTTTAGGGAACTGTAATGAACAAAAGAGCCTTCCTGGGTTCCCACGAAATACTAGGATGACTGCTGGCTCTAGCTGAGTAGTGATATTGAAATGTTAAATAGCTAATTGCTCTGTTTGTTTTCTCTAAACTACCTGGAGATCACCTGGCCTCCCCACCCAGGCTGCCATTCCATGACTAAGATGCAAATAGGGGAACCCGTGGAACCATAGGAGCATGTTTTGGGGGATAAAGACACCCCTAAATGGAGAACTAAACACAGTAGAGGGGACTAGACAGGTGCCCTAGCTGAGGAAGAGGGAAACACATCCCCTGATTGATGTTTGACCTGTCACCATCACCTATGGAAGACTAGACTGGAGCAGGCTGTGGGAAGCAGGAACAAAGAGGCAGAATTTCCTGGTGTTACCACAAGGAAAAGAGAGGGGACAGCTGCTGCTCTGGACTTCAGCAACAGACTCTGCACACCTCCTTCCCCTTCAGCTACCTGGGAAAGCTACAACAGCGGGGGCGAGCCCTGTGTCGGGGCCCCCTGGCCAGCTGATTTTTTTAATAAAGAGCTGAACAGTAATAAAGGCATTAGCCCTGTTCATTTCAGAACCATCATGATTAAGGGGAAGAAGTTGACAAAAACCAGAAAAGCTCTTAATTTGCAAGGAATTTATGCATCATGTATGAGATATATGAATATGCAACAGGCTATTGCTTTTAAGGTTATTCTTTTGTTCACAAGGCATGCTTTTTGTGACTTAGTGTCCGAGAGCATCTGGATGTCTGTAATTCTTTGCTTTTTATTGTCTCGCAATTGTCCTAACTCTAAATTTTTATTACTCTAATTATATTACTATTTTTATGACCATTTTATTATTATTAAACTTTTAACATTTTACAAACCAAGTGATTGGCGTTTTACACAGTTAATAATTGTTAAACATATACTGCTAAAAGGTTTAGTTCTTATATTGTAAAAAGGGTTAAAAGGGTAGTTATAAGAAATACGGTACTCAACTTACTGTATTACACCTAAGTAAAGTGCACCCTCCCAAGCAAAAAAGAGCCAGCCTGGATGGAACTGTAAGAGCCAATCAGCGCCTTAACCTTCATGCAAATGAAGGATCCCAACTGAAACCAATCCAAAGGAACAAAAAACAGTATAAAAGAGGGCATCCAAGTCGGTGAGAGCCTGCGGCTCAACCTTGAACATCGGGAACATCCCTTCTCTAAAGGAAGAAGATCCAGCGCTGGCCCTGCAGCATCCTCGCTTGTCGTTGACCGGGAACGCTCCTGCTCTACCCACGGGCCCCCTATGCCTTAGGCCTTATAATAAAAGCTGAAATCACTTTTAGTACTGGGAGTCCATTCCTGTTTCTGAGATAGCCCGCACCCCCTGCCTGCCAGGACACCCTGCATTTCCACCTACAGTTGCAGAGTTTCTGATACATCTCATCTACCATTCCGGGATTTTGCTCGTCCCTGCCGTTCCAGCTTGCTGTTTCTGAGGTCCCTGCTACAGCTCCTTTTGCTATGCAGAGGGGCATCAGGATCGGCTACCCCTGAGAATTTGTAAAGGAAGCCCCTTTCCCATCCCTTCTGCTAGCTCTGCCCTCCATTGTCCAGGTGCAGAGAGACGACCGATATCGCGCCACAGCACCCCCTGCAGCCACGGGGTATCGATGCACCTGCCCTGCCTGGCTGGGAGCCACCAACCAGCACCCCTGTTGGCAGTGACCATAGCTACACCAAAGGGGAAAGTGTTTGACAGCCAAGAGAAGGCTGTTACTGGGTTTCTGGTTCTGTTTGTTGTTGCTGCTGCTGTTGTTGTTTGTTTGCCTTGTTATACATATACACACACTAGTAAAGAACTGTTATTCCTTTTCCCGTATCTTTGCCTGAAAGCCCCTTAATTTCAAAATTATTCGGAGGGAAGGGGGTCATATTTTCCATTCCAAGGGAGGTTCCTGCCTTTCTTGGAAGACACTTGTTTTTCAAACCAAGACATATGAAGAATTGTATTTTTAATGTATCATAATAAGCATCACTTATTTGCAAGATTTCCATATCTCAGAAAAATGTAATGTTAAAGTTGGGGAAATATATAATCTCCGATTCATTCAACAGTAGTTTTGTAGACGTTATAGGAATCAATTAAAGAATTGTGCAAGAAAAGTGCCAGAAGAATACACATATCCTTTAGAGGCCATTTTCAAGTGTAGAATAAAGCATGCCCTTTTAAGGTCAAATTAAGACCACCAACAAAAATTAGAATTAGTACCATCCCATTATTATTTTGGACATTGTATTCTGTAAATAGCTGCGTATTATTTACTTGGCTGCTATCTCAGTGGTTTAACTATAACTAAATGCTTTTGTAGTTTGTTTTGCCTTAAGTACAGTAGTTAAATATTTCAGTGTAGAGTTCTGAAGAGAGAGCTTTTGAGCATCATCTAATTTTCCTTTACCCTGATGAGACCATCTTAATATATATACACACACATATAAAAAAGATAAAGACTATTGTGCTCTGAACACTGAAAGAAAAAGTCCTTTTAGGGAGTTGGAGAGGGAAAAAAAATGTGGATAGGGATGTCAAACTTTTCAGCATTACCCTTTTATCCTCTTCCTCCTCCTTCCCCCCCCCCCCCAATCATAAGTTGGAGGACATAAGATTTTTATATTCCAGTCATGTCCCATTAACTGTAACTTGTCTTTTCCTAACACTTTCATCCTTAATGTCCAGGAAGAATTTTTATATTGCACTATGTTTGAAATGCATCATAATAAAATATAAACTATGGGCAAAGCTTCCCTCCCTAAATTCTATATCAAATAATATTAGCTGTGCTATTACTTTACTAGAATAATTCTGCTACAAGTTTCACATCTCTATTTGCACATCTTAGATGCTTACTTTTTTTCTTAATAATGCAAATTAAAGGATTTTCTAATCAACCTTCAATGTTTCATCCTGCTGCAGTATCCTTTAAGAAAAAAAACCCAGTAAGGTCAGTCAGTATATTGGTTCTTTTTGCTATTGCTTTGTATTTGGTTGCACTGGGTCTGGCTGGGATGGACTTAACTTGTCTCATAATAGCCCATATAGTGGGGCGTCCACTACACATACTGAGGCCCTGCTTTTCAGGAAGTGGCTGGACATTTGCCTGCTGATGGGAAGTAGTGAATTAATTCTTATTTTTGCTTTGCTTCTGCATACAACTTTTGTTTTTTCTTATTAAAACTGCCTTTATCTTGACCCACAAGCTTGTCCATCTTATTTTATCTCCCTGGCCTGTTGATGCAGAAGAATGAGAGAGCAACTGCATGGGGGGCTGGCAGGCAACCAAGGTCAAACCACCACATTGGTTTTGTTTTAAATACATTTTAGAAATATTCCATGGATACAAAATAGCAAGAAATGGTAGGGAGGCAGTGTCAAACTAGTGTTCTTCAGGTCTTTTACTACCAGCCTTCATTTTTTTCCTGTATTATCAAAGATGGCATCATAGTTATTCTTTCAAGTCACTTGACAAGACCTTTAGTGTTTTAATCAATTCTTGTGCTATTTTAGTGGTCATATTTGAACATTTCTTCCAACTCAAGGGAATATCAGTATCATCCTTATCACTTCTTATAGAAGAGTTTTTCATCTGAACCTTAAATTGACTTCTAAAAGTTTCCATACATATGCATCTTCTTCAGCATTCTAATCGTACCGACAGTAAAGCCCTGCACTATTTGCGGAAACTGATCTGTAAAAGCATTTATCATCTGCAGGTTCTGTTAAAGCCAGTCCCTCTAATAAGCAGATGTTTTATTAGCTTTAAAATTAGGTATCAGTCTAATATTCTGCCAACTTTTTTTAACCTTAATGACTTTGGCACCTAGCTTTTACAGTAAAAGGCTCCTCTCCTACCTCCTTTCTTTCATCTATTTCCAGATTCTCTCTGTTCCTTCATATTTAATTTCCCTACAACTTGTGTTTGAGCTAATTTCCATGTTGGTAACTCCTCTATGTATAAATCTTCCCTTCACAATGTATACATTAGAAACCTCAAACCTGTGTGTGTGTGTGTGTGTGTGTGTGTGTGTGTGTGTGTGTGTGTGTGTCAATTTATCTGAAGACTTCTGCTATCACTCTTGCTTCACCTTTGCTTTCTGAGTCAAGCGGGATTAGGTATAGGAATGTTTCTTGCTTCATCCACCCATCCATTTGTTTTTTTTCCATCCTGGCTGTTTTGTCTAGAGGTCAGCCTGAGTACATACATCCTATTTGAAGTAGGAAAAAAAAAAAGCCAAACAAATTCTTATTTAGTTCAAATGCAGTGAAGCCTGCCACATCTGTTTCAGACTGAGCCTGAACAGTTAAGCTGTTATCACTAGGCTCTGATGGCCTGCATGGCTCCAGTTTCGTTTAGGAGATACCTCAGCCCCTCTGCAGGACTCAAATGACACCAGTTCCCCTCCCTTCTTCTGTGAAGGGGTCCAATCCTCCATAAGGAGCCAACATACCTCAGTCAAAAGAAAGAGTAACCAACTGGGCAACAATGAGCTCCTGTTTTGTGAACAACTCTTAACCAGCTTAAAAGCAACCTCTTCAGTTTAATGAGATTATGTCCTCTACTGCATGTCTGAGCACAACTCCTACTACCATTGAAAAGGTTTCCCTCCCCCCACAAGAATTTTTCTTAAGCAGGTATGTATCTTAGCCTTCTCTCACACAAGTTGTGTACTGCATGTAAGTACTTACATCTGTGGAAGCACAAAGCTGAATGCATATTCATGCCTTCCTGAATGAATGGTGCGAAGGCCTTCTTCAGAATTGTCATCATCTAGGAGGGAAAAACCCAATATGCTATTCCACCTGTGAACATTTTACATAGCACAATATATTATATAGGTTTCTTTTCCAGAATAAGAGGGATTTATACATTCTTTACAATACTAAGAATACAGTGTCTCAGAAACAAGTGTCTCCAGTCCATTTGTATTAACTGCTAGATGCATAGCTGCAGAATTTTTAGTTAGGTGAGATTTCAAGACTCGTCTGACATAAAAGCAGAAGTTAACTTGTTTTAATTTATGATTTTGTGAAAAACAGAGTTAACTCCTTAGAATTTTTAAAAGTTTAATGATAATAGGATAAAGAAGGACAATATTTCCAGCAAACAGCCAAAGAACACCCGCAGACAGTGTTATCTTTATATGAAGGCAGTGTTATCTTTATACTGTTACATCTCTGAGGGTCATGCATATTCATGTATTTCATGCATTATTCAAACATTCTTGCAAACTTTCTGATGTTTTGGGAACTCCTTTGACTTCTTCACACTCCAACTTATCTGCATGACATCTTGTGTGCCAGGTCAATATAGTTTATTTCTTCTTATGTCTCCATCCTGCTGTCTCACATCCTCTGATAAGGATTTAGTATGTCTTCCTCCTTAAATTTAACATGGTATTCTCTAATTGTCCTCTGGTGCTCTGGTTTGTGTCATGATAATCACTTGGATGGGTCAGTCGGTGGATGGCCTTACACTGTTCTTCTTAGTTACACAAAAACCTTTTCACATCTTATGTTTTGCTAAGGTCTATAGTACAATATGTTCATCACACCACTATTTATATAAGCTATACATAGATATTTTATTCATTACACTACTATTTCTATGAGCAATACAGGGCATACTTAAGCTGATTATGTTATATTAACAAGCAGCTAAAAAATTATAATTTGTACTATATCTAAATACTTATAATCAATAACAACATATAAAAGCTAATACATAAATGCAAAAGCCAGTATTATCTGGGCATCTTAAATCCAAGTATTAAGATAGCTGTAACTGCTGCCATTTCAAGGTCTGCCAGAAAGATCCATAATGGAAACTGTTTTCCGATATGACTTCTAGTTAAAACTTAAAATGAAATAGAGCTCTCTAAGTATTAAGTGATCTTAGTATTTTCTGCTACATTAATTGATTACATTTAGTAATTCAGCTTCCTCCTATTGCCTGCCTGGCAAGTGTCCAAAAAGTGTTTTTTTAAAAAGTGCACAAGCACCATCTAGAAAGTACCAAACAAATTCAGGAACACAAGAAGTGGCAAGCTGTCCAATTAATGTTGTTAAGAGTTAATGTATCAAAAATTCAAAGTTTAGCTCAATTTTGCTTGGATAGCAAAGACCCAAACATTTCCTAATTTCAATGAGAAAGCTGACCTTGTTTTATAGTAATGATTTCTTGTATTGCTTTAAATGCCCCAATAAATTTTTGGTTTGTTCCGATATAATTACCATGAACCCAGAAAAAATCCTGCTAATTCCAACAGAATAGAAAGTTATTTAGAAAAAACAATTAAGCATCTCATATACAAAAGGGTTGGCATAATAAAGGTACATACAGTGAGATTACACAAAAGACACTTCCTGTTGTTAATAGTCTGAAGCATCATGAACACTGCTACATTTTAAGATTTTTTAGTTCCCATTGTTCTACAAAAGTGCTGATGCTTCAATTTCTTTAGTGCACCAGAAATGCTGAAAGAAATCTATGCAAAAATATAAAACCCCTAGAACACATAAATGCACCTGCAGCATGTAATGTCACAAAATAACAATCTTCAATACGCTGAAAGAGCAAAGCAATGTGTATAATGCTTTTGTTGTTGTTGTTGTTAAAAAAAACGCTTGGGGGGCTTTGTTTGGTTTTAATTAAAAATAATAGTGTTTTCCTTGCACATGTTTTTTCATCCCTTCTTCACTTCCTGTCAGATCAGCAGTTCCAGTGAGCCTGAACAGCAGCAGCAGAATTATGGTAAGCAAGTACTGAGCTGTCAGTCACAGACTAGGCTGGAGCAGGAGAGGACTGGCCTAAACAGGCACAAGCACATCCCCTGCCAACCACTCATATACATACAGTGTACATTACAACCCACTACATTTGCTCAGCAACTCTGCTCACAGTCTTGCCTGACTACCACAGAGGTAAGGAGAGAGGGGGAGGACATCACCCACGCCTCACCATCTGCTCTCCTCATACCACAGGGCCATGCTGCCAGCTTGCCCCGTGCAGACACCCCAATTCTGCACTTCTCTCAGGAGCATGTGCTGACCATTACTGAAAGGCGATTACAGATAGTGCTGGCCAGGGGCGTGGGCCAGGAGAGATAACCGAGTGAGCGATGCAAGAGGCTGTGGGGCCGTGTGTCCCAACGGCCACCCCTGCTCCCAACTCCTTGCTGGCCCAGTGGATGTGCATGGCAGGAGCTTTAATACTTCTGTCTGTCCCCAAAGGTGGGCATTCCCAAGAAAGGCAATGTGCCCTCTGGAGCCACTTCGCTCCGCCCCCCAGCACACACTAGAGAGCGGGCAAAGGAACTTCCCCCACGTCCCAGCCCCCTACAATCAGCGGCTGGCATCACCTTAGCAACAGGCTAACAAACCCCAGCAGGCCAATGACAAGGCGGGGAAAGGGAGTGGTCTTCCAGACTATGGTAGGGTACAATGCGTAGAGTTAAACTCCACTCTGTGCAGCGAGTGTTCATAGTCCTGCCGCTACAGCCAAGGGAAGGACAGTGGTGTCCCGGGACAACTGCTTAAGATTGTACGTGCTGCACATGCAGCACCAGTCTTGCTTCTGGTGTTGGAACGTGTCAGATCTGTCCCTTCCCTGCCACCTTTTGTTCCCTTTCCAGACAAAACCAAGCACCTACTATCGAGGTCAGCATTTGGATCTACAGGCCACATACAAAGTCATTGCTGCTGCTTAACCTGACAGAAGCGTAGGAACTCCTTACTCGTAAGGATACATCCTGCTATGAGTGACTCCTGCATGCTTGCATGTTTCTGTCATCTGCAAGCCAGAGGTGAATGAATTTTTCGCATGAGAGAATTATTTCTAAGGTAGCAGTATAAAGAACATTTGAACTAGAAAGACATCTCATGAGCGACCCGAGCTTGCTTGCATCACAGTAACATAATTAAAATCGATAGCAACTGTTATTTGTAGAGGATCTCTGCAGTAAATATACTTCAGATTTAAAAGCAAAACAAAAACACACCCCCAAAAAAAAAAAACCAAAAAAAAAACCTCCCCGCCCCCAACAAAGTCAAAGCAAAACACCAAAACACCCAACCAAATTATGTACTCAGTTTTAACATTTTCTCGTTCTAAGAACTCAGTCATCACCACCACCTGACATGTGCAACCAATCTGCGGAAAGAAGGAATACTCCCTCCCTTCTTCCCAGGAATGGCCCCAAACAGGATTGAACCGCTTCTAACAAAGGGTGGAAACTTCAGAAATAACAAGCTTAGAGTCCCTTGTACTTTGAAAACGTAACTATGGAAACAATAGATTAGCAAATTTAAGACCCACAATCCCACTCACAATGTAATATCCCATTTCTATACCCAAAAATAAGGGAATTTGCAGGGCACTTTCCATTTCTATAGGGGCTTAGCAGACCAGATTTTCATTGAATGCAGGTTCCAGAACTCAACTCAGAAGCGATGCTCCATTCATACAACTATGACCTCTTATTTGACCTTTCAGACAGATTTTTACATCTGGGTCCCCCATAGAGGAGTTGAATAAAAGAAATTAAAGGAATTTACAAGTATACTAGTTTAGAACAAAGGAATAAATGGAAAATTACGAGTGCAGTGGTGATAGCACATCAAAATAATCCACAGGAAATCTTTTATCTGCCAACAATGAATCAACCTTAAAAATAATTCTGCAAGTCAGACCTGTATCTGTTATGTGTCAAAACGTCTAATGGTACATCTTAATTACCCTTATGATTCTATAGGATGCTACCAAGAAAATAATTTACTACATATCTCGTTTTGATTTAACAGCTATTTTCCCCGTAGAGAAACAAGTCACGCTAATATCGCTAGGAAAAAAAAAAAATAAAAGGCACTGTATATTACAAAACATATTAAAAACCAATGCAAATCTTTATGAAAAGACTGGTAAAAGGCAGGTCTTTTTTAAAAGTCCTGTTTTCAGGTACTTTGAAAATGCACCTCAACATGCTTTTAAGTAAACGTTCAAATAATCAAAAATACAATCTAAGAATGTAACCAGCATTTCCTCATCTTTAAAAATAGTGAACGCTCTGAGACTGCATATTAAGGAGGGATAAACCAAGCAAAGATGCATCTTTTTCTGGAAATATGTCTGCATGTAGTGAATGAATAAGTGAAAAGCTTACCTCTTGCATGCCCGACTAGAACGTCCTTATAGTTAAAATACTCTACTTCTTCGGTGTAATTTTGTGTATAAGCAGTGTTGGATCCAGCATTTCTAGATTCGCTCCAACGTACTTTTGCATGTCCTCTTGCATGAATTTTAAGAGCTTTCACTCTAATTTCCCCAGTAACTTCTAAACTGATCCTTCCTGAGACTGTGTCCCCGCTAGAATACACGGGGATATTGCTGTTACTGAGACAGTCAAAGCTTATTGTCAAACTCTTCACCTTCCCCAGCACCATGATTTTTAACGAAGTGTATAAAAATATACTACAAGGAAAACAAAAAAAAAGTCAAGGTCTCATACAAAACGCGACCTTCACTTTACACTGAACAACGCCTCTGTTGCGTAGAGCCTGCCAACAAGATCAGCGTGTCCCCTACGAACGCTTCATCGGAATTACTGAGAAGACAACGGCAGCCGCCCAACACTGCGATATCCGTACAAAGGCAGCTGGCCCGCACGCTGCCAGTTCACTTTAGGAACAGCTTTGTGAAAAACAACCACCCCTGCGCATGCGCGAAGAGAGTCGTGGTGGCGGTTTCCTCCACCGCTTGCGTGTCTTTCCTGCTGTGTTCGTTTTTCTTGTGTTATTGCTTCTGCCTCATGCAGAGAGTCAGAGCACTCCCTGGTGGAGTCAGGGCTCTGCTGCGAGTTCGCTGTACGGTATTGAAATACGTACTGAAGAACTGAGAGAAAAACGTCGGGGGGGGGGGGCTCCTTGTCTTGAGGCTCATCTCATATCTCATCTCATCTCATCGCCTGGTACGGCCTGGGGATCCTGGCTGGATGGTTGGGAGGTGTCTCAGAAGAAGCTGGCAGCTGAAATCGGGCAGCAGTCGGTGGGCACCAGGCCCCGGATTCTGGCAGCAGAGGCATGGGTTCTCTCCCTCAGCTGCCGGTTGCCTGGCTAACAGTAAAGATCACAACGATTCTGTTGGGGAAATGCTCAGCACGTCACTCACAGACCTTGCCCATAGCTTTTGTTCGTGAAGGGGCTAATCCTGGACAAATTATAGGCAGGGCCTAGGCAGGTGAGCGGGGCATGGCTGCCTTTGCTGGCCTCCCCCCCTTTGCAGCACCCTGCACATTAACTGAGGAGTGAGGGTACAAAAGCATGGCATTATGCAAAAGTAAACATTTAAACCTCTATCAAGATGAAGTTTTCTATTTTAATACTTGTCCTGATTTAGGGCAAATTTGGGAAAAAAACTCCAAAAAGGCCCCCCCCCCCCTCGAAAGCAAACCCACACGGCCCCTCCCCCCAATCTGTTCGGGAAGAATTTCCTCAGAGAGAAGTGGAAAAACCCTGTTTATTTATAGGCAAAGCACTCCCCAGCACAAAAAAAATGAACAATACCAGATGACAAAACTCATTCGCCACTCTGAAGAGATGAAAAATTCAGAAAGTCTCTCCTGTAGCTGGTCACTGTTATCAGCCCCTCTGGTGCTGGAAAAAGCTGCTGCCCAGAGTAGGCCACTAGTCCACAAAGTGCAAGCTCTCAGTGTTTCCCCAGGTCCCAATCTGGAGCAGGTTCGAATGGTTCCAAGAAAAGGGAAAGAAAACCAGTCCAGGGAACACTTGGACTGCCTCAGCTAGCTAAACTAACTAAAAATCAAAGGAGCGCTGTGTTATGCCCTGTCCGTGCCCAGACAACACTGTGGAGATCTGTGTTCCAGCAGACTGTGAAGGAGCGAGTGCAGGCTGATAACAAAACTCCGTGCTTCTTCTTCTACCTGCCTTCTCTCTCAGAGCCAGTCTTGAAGGCACAGAATATAATATCCATCATAAACAGAACACACAATTTGGGATACAAGCATAATAATGTCACCCTAGGACACAGCTCAACCCACCTGTCCATTGTTCAATGTTCTTCAGTAGTGCAACTCTTGGATACATGTGCATCTACATGATGGACTTTTACAGCCAACTTCTCTACCCAGGTCAGGGTAGAGCTGATCAGGGTAGCAAGCTGGTCTTTTTCCATCAGTCAAGCCACCTCCACAGAGCATTTGCTACCATCCATGAGTTGGTGTAGAGGTAGAGGGCTGGGCATTTCTCTTGGTCAGTTGTGGATATTCTCACTTCAGTCAGAGAGAAAAAGAGAAGGATTTCTGCCAGGCTAAGCCTGGTAAAAAGTCCGAGAGGAATGTAAACAATCTATTATCTTGTTTTCCGTTCATATTGTTTATAGATATGTTCTACCACACTGACCTAAGTCCAGTGTACCAATCAGGTTAAATGTTTTTACTTTAAGACAAATGGAATTAATGTTCATGATGTTCTCTATAAGAGAGAGAAGTGCTTTTGAATAAAGCTCAGTTTGCCTTCTGAAATCATGTGAGTTATTTCGCCCGTCCCTGGCTCAACAGCATCAGCCAGCAATATCTAAAGCCAGCTGGACAGATTTCAGCTCTGGAACTTGACTTGATCCACCTTGTCCCTCAATAGCTTCTTCAACTTGCTGCTTAGGACTCCATATGGCAGCTTTCCCTTTCTAATACAGCCCCACAATATGGCAGGAACCATCAGTAGAGAGACCATATTGCTTTTCATTTTGTCCTGCTATGATGATGATGATAGTTCAAAATTTTTTTCCTTCAGGCCATTCCATGATGACTTCCAAGATCCCTGGACGACTGGAGTATCCTATTCAAGCTTGCTGTGTGACCAGAGTGATCAACTTACTCCATGTAGCATCAGTGGAATGATGTGTGGAAGGGACTTTCTCTTTGAACATCTAGCCCAGCACTGGTAATTGTGGTGCCAGAAGGAGCTGTGCTTCAGTGCAAATCACTTCTGAAGCAGCTCTAACTGCTTCATAAGCTGCCAGGATGTCTTTTTTAGTTGGGGTTTAACAGGTCTCAGATCCTTTGTATCCCTGACTCCAGAACCCATGGGGTCGTCCCAAGTACTTTTTGCCAGAGACTCCAGGAAGGACCATTTTCACATCTTGTCCTGTCCTGACTGGCCCAAGGGCTACTGCATTAAGTCTCCCGTTAATTTGTTCAGAAGTTTATATTGTTATTGTTCAGGACCTTGCTTAAATCATTCTTCTTTAGGATCTAATGATAGAGAGGGCTTACAGTCTGACTGTAATCTGGAATATGCATACTCTAAAAACCCAGAGCACCTAGGAAAGCCTGTGTTTCCTTCTTGCTGGTCAGTAGGAAAATAACTGCTATTTTTTGACCGCATCCATTGGAATCTGATAACATCCATCTTGCCATTTTGCTCCTTAAAACTGAATTTCATGGGCAGGTGTCTTGATACTATTTGTTTTATGGCAAAACCAGCCTTCAGGATGATGTGGATTATCTTCTCCCCTTTCTCAAAAACTTCCTCTATTGTGTTGCCACACATGATGATGTCATCGATGCATTGTAAATGTTCTGGAGCCTCACCCTTTTCCAGTTCAGTCTGGATCAGTCCATGGCAAATAGTGGGACAGTGTTTCCACCCCTGGGCAGTCAGTTCCAGGTGTACTGGATGCCCCTCCACATAAAAGCAAACTTTGGCCTACAGTTTACTTCTAAAAGAATGGAGAAAAACACATCAGCAATGTCAATGGTGGCACCCTTCTGCTGCCCTAGACTCCAGCTCCTACTGAAGTTCCAGCATGTCTGGCACAGCAGCACTCAGTGATGATATAACTTTTCAGGCAACAATAGTCCACTGTAAGTGTCCACTCTCCATTGGACTTGCACACTGGTCCTATAGGACTATTAAAGGGTGAGCGAGTCTTGCTGTTTACTTCTTCTCCCTCCAGTTCATGAATGATCTCATGGATTGGGGTCATGGGGTATTGCCAATGATGCGCTATTGTCGTAGCAAGCAGAACCTGTTGTTCTTCGACCCTCAGCAGTTCCACAGCAGAAGGGTCTTCTGAGAGACCAGGCAAGGTATTCAGCTGTCTAATTTCCTCTGTCTCCACAACAGATATCCCAAAAGCCCAACAATTAGCTTTTGGGGTCCTTGAAATACCCTCTTCTGAGGTAATCTATGCCAAGGATGAAAGAGGCCTCTGGGCCAGTCACAATGGGGTGTTTCTGCTATTTTTTCCTATTCAGGCTCACTTCAGCTTCCAGTAAAGTCAGGTGTTGGGATCTCTGCCACCCCAGAAACAGAGATGGGTTCTGCCCCTACATATCTTGATGGCATCAAAGTACATTGTGCGCCAGTGTCAACTGAAGCCTTACACTCTTGTGGGTCTGATATGCCAGGCCATCGGACCCACACAGTCCAGTACATCCAATTACCCCTTTCCCCCACCTGGCTAAAGTCAGGGTCCTACTAGTTATGGTTATGGTACTCATTGCTCAGTTCTTGTAAATATGAACTGGAAGTCTGTCCTGGTTTAAAGGACAGGTGCCTGCAAAGGAAGGTAGTAACCTCCCTTGGAATGGAAAATATGACCCCTTTCCCTACAAATTATTATAACTTTGAAATTACAGGGCTGTCAGGCAAAGATGTGGGAAAAGGAATACAGTTCTTTGTTAGAATATATATAACAAGGAAAACAAACAACAGCAACAGCAGCAAAAACATACAGAAAAACCCCAGAAACCCAATAGTAGCCCTCTCTTGTCTGTCAAGCCTTTCCCCATTCGGTATAATTATGGCCACAGCTGGCAGGGATGCTATTGGCTCCCGGCCAGGCAGGGCAGGTGCAATGATTCTCCCACAGCTGCAGGGGGTGCTGCGGCATGAGCTCAGCCACCGCTTCCACTGGCAATGGTGGCTCAGCTGACGGAAGACATAGAAAAGGGGCTTCCTTTGCAAACTCACAGGAAGCAGCCAGTCTCAGTACCCCTCTGTCAAAAATTGGTTAGAAACTGTTGTAAAATAGTTGATAATTTTTAAGCATGCACTGTTAGTTCGGTTATTATATTGCAAAAGGAGTTAAAAGGGTAGTTATAAGAAATACGGTACTCAACGTACCATGTTACACATAAGTAAAGTGCACCACCTCCCCAAGTGAAATGAGCTAGCCTGGACAGAACTGTAATGGGCCAATCAAGTGCCTTAAACCTTCATGCAAATGAAGGATCCAAACAGAAACCAATCCAAAGGAACAAAAAACAGGATAAAAAGGGGGCATCTGACCCAGTGAATGTGTGCTGCTCCACCTGGAACATCAGGGACATCGCTGCTCATAAAGAAAGAAGACCCAGCGCCGATGCTGCAGCATCCTCGATGGGAATGCTCCTGCTCGACCAGCAGGCCCACATGCTTTAGGCCTTATTGTAATAAATGCTGAAATCACTTTTAGTACCGGGAATATGGTCCTGTTTTTAACAGCTGGAGGCAGTCCCAAGAGACGACCTCCCCCAACTGAGACCAGGGGCTGCCTGTCCTCAGCTCCACGGAGGGACCTTGTGTCAGTATCTGGGAAAAAGGCCTGAGGCACATGTGAGGCACAGCGGCAGTGGGACACTAGACGGTAAGTATCACCCATCCACAGGCAGCGGGAGGGGCCCAGAGGACAGGGGGGTGA